TGATGATGGTGGAAAACACCGAAACGTATTTTAATTGATAAATAGACAATAAATGACTGAAGCCCAGGAATTGATTTTGATTTGGAATTGATACACAGTATTTAAAATATGTATATTTTTCTTATTTCCAACCACCAGCAACATTAAAGCGCAGCAAAAATAAAATGTTTTCTCGTTAATGTCGCATGTAATGTTAATTGTTCCAGTTGCTGCGATGTTGTTAACCGTCCAAGAACGGTTTAATCCGTATAAATAAATACGAGTAATATTGCTTTAACGGAATTTTAAGAGCTGGTTGCGTCGCTTTAGGGGATATTCACAATAAATAATTTACAACTTACGGAATTTTTAATTATGAAACTTTACAGTTGCGACCAAACATGCTGCAAAGCAGCTTTTTAACACGATTCATTATTAATACCGATGTTTAGCTGTAATGCGTTTTTTCCTTCCTGCTGCTGCAACAAGGTAATCGATCGGTGCGGCAGAAATCACCGGAATTGTAAGAAAAATTGGTTTTTTTTGAGGATTTAGATTTGAAGTTAAATCTTATGTTGAATAATTGTCATCAGAACACTTTTGAACACCCAATAATGTTTAGTGACAAAAATTTCAGAATTGAAACACAAAAAGTAGAAGACGCAACTTGATTCACGCTAAAGCAGTTTGTAATTTTTGAAAAATGGCAAAATCTTCCAAAAAAAAAAGAATTTTCCCACAAATCCTTCGCGTAACCGCAAAGTAACAAAATGAAACTCAACGAATTTCCGAATAAACTCATTGCTAGAGACAGGCGAGTTATCTATGAAACGGTGAGCTCACTACTGCTGCAGCAGGAATTCGAAACTTTTAGTATACTTGACTTGGTGCGTCCATCTGCAGGCAAACGTTTATACCAAATGGTAGTCGACCAAGTTTGTCGACCTTTGGATGGTTGATCAAAAAAGCAAACCAGTTTTTCGTGCAACTTTACCAATAGAATGCGCTCCTTGAAAAGATAGATATAAAAAACCGACGTAGCCAAATCTCGAAAGTATAACGAAACCTGGGAAGTTTGTAATAAAGACTTTGTTCGAAAAAATGCTAACGTGTGGTTGAAGTCTTCAAATTGAGCCGACATTTAACATAAGTAACATAAGTAAAAATTAGGATTGCTGATTACTTCAAACAACTTTTCGACTGCTACTGGTTTGTTTTTTTCCCAAAAGAAGTTTTTTTTTAACTTCCTTCTGTCAACCAAGGATCAAGATATCGGGACTTAGAAACTATCCAGACCCAGGCGTTAAGAAGCCAGTTGAAAATAATTGAAAAACACTCAAATGAAGCAAAAATTGTAAAAGCTACAGTGTGAAGAGGACAAAAACCACTAGTTTAATTAGGAAGAGCTTCTGGTACCATACGCAGGAAATTCCTCCGACTAGGGCGGCAACATTGGAAAGCTGCCGCGATCAATGCTGTTGCAAAGACTATGTAGTTCAAAAGCACGAATGGAATTTACGCGAGCGCTTTTGTAAACTCAAACCATCCGTTTTTCGTATTCTGAGTTTTGTGTGCTCAAAAATGTGATAAGATAACACAATCTGATCGAAATAAGCTGTCGGCGAAAAATCGTGCACGCGTAAATACACCAACAAAACATATTTTTTAATGCGCCAAGTGTTTAAGTGATTCAAAAGGGTTTGTTTTGAGTTGGGAAAAATGACCACCGTCGAATTGTACACGAAGGTGAGCTCTGAGTAAACATATTGTCAACCAGTTCAACGCGGTAGGTGTTAATTCAATTTATGCTGGCATGGAGCTGAGAGTCTCTGCATGTTTGGAACATTAACTAGTAAATTAAACTTTTGTTAAAACAATGTGTGATTGTTTGCAACACTCAAATTTTTTCAGACTTTTGGACTATCGGTGTTCAGTTTTTTTCCATTAAGTTACTAGAAGAAGAAGAAATGTTAAGTAAAAACGTAAACTTTCAATCGTGGAAAATATTGGAGAATCGGTCTGTTGTGGTCTTCAGAAAAAAACTTCTGAGCTGATTACCAGGTTTTGGGAAAATTTATTTCCTTCTTCGGGTTGCATGCTTGCAAACCCCGAAGAAGGAAATAAATTTTCCCAAAACCTGGTAATCAGCTCAGAAGTTTTTTTCTGAAGACCACAACAGACCGATTCTCCAATATTTTCCACACTTAGAGGTTTCAAAATTTCGGTTCAAAAACAACCCAAATGTAAACTAGCCGCGCTTATTTAAGAAGATCTTTTGAATACTCATCGTTTTTTTTTAATTTTTGGATCTCCAAAAACTTCAGGCAAAAGTGCTTCAGCTGATATCTGGGCTATTCATTAATCTCTCGGATAGAGAGGAGCCAAAAACCTTCACGGCCCAGATTAAGCAGCTCTGGCGATCAATAGTTTCCTGAGTTACTTTCAAATGCACTTGCCATATTGTGCATCATTGTGAGACATGTATTGACTTTATTGGCCCTCAAAATACAAGTTAATTAACCATTTAAAACGATAAAATCCTGATAACTTTTTAGGAAATTAAGCCAATTGCTGTGGGGCAAAGTCAAATTAGAGTCACTTTAACTGCTCTAGAGTAACAGAATTTCATTAGAAAGTTTCACAAAACGTGGAATTGAAAATAGTTAATAGCATAATAGATCTTTAATACCCGATTGTGGCGTGGGAACCAAAATACGCTGGCCAACGTGAATTCCCACTGTAATTTTGTATTCTCTTCGCACTTAGGTGCATATAAACGGATCAGTTTCTTATACTTTGCACTTCACTTTCAATGTATCGAAGACCACTCTGATCCGTTATTGTATTCTGTGCTGATTGATTCATTAAAATGTATGCCATTTTTTAATTGAAATTGAAATCATAAAGCTTTCTGAGAAAAATACACGCGAATCATTTACAAGAGTCTGTAGACCTTAAGTAACTTAATGTCTTCAGTGCCAAAAATGGTGTTACATAAATGTGAAGGTTAAAGTGAAAGTCTTCGAGCAGTTTGGCGATCTTTAAATTGGACCAGCCGAGCTGTAAAATCAAGTATTAAGCACACCTGTAAAAGTATCAATAGTTGAGATAAAACGTGCCTAGAAAGGCCATAATCTACACGAAATTCGCCTCAAAATCCTCATAAGACTTAGATAGTTAGAATCGCAGATGCTTTTAAACTAGGATGGTTTCGATTAATTCTGTCGCACCGGTTTTCCTCGATATCTGGCATATTAAAATTCAATATACCCAATGGAACCACCTATTGCAGCAAGGTCATGGTTATGTTGGTATAAATTACACAATTATAAAGTACGTAGATTCAGATAACAAATATTGCAATTATTGTTAAATATTTGCCGCGAACATACGCATATTTAAAGCACATTTTGGCACACCATTAATGCAATGTGCTTTAACTAACTCAGTCATCCTACAATGTATTTTGCCACAACCATGAACTGTAGAGTATTTATATTGTAAGCATGAACGAACCAAAACAACCGGGTTTACTAAACTGGTACCTACTTGCAACCCAAAGTACACGCAAACAGAATAGAAATAAAGGCATTTCCATGGCATAGTTAAACTATGCGATGTTCAACCCGCATTCACTAACCTTTAACCGATGTTTTCACAGTTATAATTATGCCTATATACATGTAAAGTACCAAAACGTGAGTTGGTTGTAGAGAAGTTTTTCGGTTCCAAAAAGGCTGCTAAATCAGCTCCTTAGACGTTGTTAATTTAAATTCGAATTTGATTAGTGGATGATGTCCGAACTGGTTTCTACAGCGTTATTTAAATTTAAACGTATATTTGTTAAGTGCTTCGCGAAGCATAAAACACGCTATTACTATGGATGGTTACATTTGGTTCGAACTCATTTATTCTAGACCCCCAAACCTATTTAAAAAAAAATACAAAACGCGACAACAAACAAAATTTACGCACACTAAATTAAGAAATTTTCGGTAATTTGCCAGAATGAAAGCAATGGGAATTATTTAAACGCTCGACGATTATATCATTTGATGCAGATTGATTGCATGGTTTGCAAGAGTTCACAGTTATTGGTCAACTTTCACAGTTAATGGGCAAATTTGAACAGTTACTAAAGCCTGATCGGTGTATGGATGCGAATATGATTTTTCGAATATAAGTGTGCTATTTTCAAATAATCAGTGCAACATTTTTTTTATTTCAGCTTTTTTACTGTCCGTTAATGATGATTTTATTGTTATAATCTTCTGAATCATTCAGAAGCGAATTCGGAACATCTTGAAAAACACACACAATGCAACAGATAAAACCTGCAATCGAAAAGACTGCACAGAAACAAAGTAATAAAGTCGATTAATGTGAAGAAACTGCTCAGTTGTCTCATTAATGAATTCTTACTTTGCTTGTCATATATTTAATTTCGTTCATATTTACACATTTTATCTGGAGTGCCCACTTATCTCTAATCTGCATTTACGTTTAAAAAAAATTTTTGACTCATTGATAACAATGCCGGTGAGTCATCTTCGGATGGATCATAACAGATTTCTTCAAAGCCAATAAGACTGTTTATCTATTAGCTATTTCTTATCAGTTTAATTAAACTGCCCAATCAAACAGCCTAATTTGTATATCTGCTCTACAAATTGCCGTATCAACGTGGGTTGCATCCGATTCAAACCCCACGCAAAAATGAAAAATTGCCCAGGATTTAACGGTTTTTTCCCAATTGCATGCAGGGTGCACGAGTATGGATTTCCCACCCGGAAAAGGTATGGGAAGGCGCCGTGCTGTTGGAAGACTACAAGCTGAAAAAACCCACCCTGGACGTGCGAACAGACGACGATGGCGAACTGAAAACTCTTCAATTGAAAAGCGACAGCGATCTTCCTTTTTTGAAGAACCCCGATATGCTGATTGGTGAAACCGATCTCACATCATTATCCTACTTACACGAACCGGGAGTTCTGTATAATTTACAAGTAAGCTTTCAATCGATCAAAGTGTTAAGCGCGACTTTCTGCTACAAAATCCCTGCTATGTAGGTTCGTTTCTGTGAAAGACGAGATATCTACACCTACTGCGGGATTGTTTTAGTTGCTATCAATCCGTACGATGAGCTGCGAATTTATGGTAAGTTGCGATAAAAAAATGCCATAATGAGCGGAAACAAGAGATAACCAGTCAGAGGCCAGCGGGAGGAAAAATTGAAAAAAATACATTTTTTAAATTTCTTCAGACACCGAAACGATGCGGGCCTATCGAGGCCAAGCGATGGGCGATTTGGTCCCACACATTTTTGCCGTTGCTGAAGAAGCCTACACTAAGCTGGAGCGGGAAACGCGAGATCAAAGTATCATCGTCTCCGGCGAAAGTGGAGCCGGAAAAACCGTCTCTGCCAAATACACCATGCGATACTTTGCCACAGTTGGAGGAAACGCCACTGACACTCAGGTGGAACGCAAGGTGTTGGCTAGCAGCCCAATAATGGAGGTATTTTAAGGAAAACGCCTCCCAAACCACCAATATGTTTTTTACGTATGTGTCTTCAGGCAATAGGAAACGCGAAAACGACCAGAAACGACAACAGTTCCAGATTCGGCAAATTTATCGAACTGCAGTTCAGTAAGCAATTCAATATCAGCGGCGCTTCAATGAGAACGTATTTGCTGGAAAAGTCCCGAGTGGTTTTTCAGGCCCCGGAGGAAAGAAACTATCACATATTCTACCAGATCTGTGCAGCTAGGGAACGATTACAGCATCTACATTTAGGTGAATTCTAGAGCTTCTTAAAAAAGCGAAAAAAAATCAGAAGTCAAAAACTGGTGAATTTTTCCGACGTTTGGGCCATGGCGGAAAAGACCTCTGAGCCGCTCCTCACGAGCAAATCTCATCCACCACGACCTAAAACGCAAAAAACCCCCAGTTTCCCACAGGAGATTAATATCCCTTACCATGTGTAGATCATCAGGATACTTTCCACTACTTGAACCAAGGATCCAGTCCGCAGGTTCAAGGGCTGAACGACTTGAAGGAGTTTGAAGAGACCGAAAATGCTCTAACAATGCTGGGTTTTTCCGACCAAGACCAGGAGAACCTGCTGAAGATTCTTGCGGGAATTCTGCACCTGGGCAACATCGAATTCAAGCAATGCCTGATCAAAGTGGAAAACGAACAGGACCAGGAAGGCTGCGTAATACCAGTAAGTCTACAGCAAATAGTTGATATGCAAAAAATCACCCATCTGAATCAGACGGCAGACAAACACCTCAGGATCTTATCCGAACTTCTGGACCTGGACAAGGATGAGTTGAAGCAATGGCTGGTTACAAGGAAGATTGTTTCCATGCGGGATGTCTATTTGAAGCCGATGACCACTGAAGAGGCGGCATTTTCCAGAGACGCCCTGGCCAAGCATATTTACGCGGAACTCTTCAACTGGATAGTTTTGGTGATTAATAAGGCTCTGGAGTCGAATATTCCAAAGCACAAGTTTATCGGCGTCCTGGATATTTATGGTGAGCATCAAACCAAAAAATATACTTTAATTAGGAATAGTTGATTAGGCAAGCTCATAAAAATGCCGATTAATTTCAGGCTTTGAAACGTTCGAGACCAACTCGTTTGAACAGTTTTGCATAAATTACGCAAACGAGAAGCTTCAACAGCAATTCAATTTGCACGTCTTCAAATTGGAACAGGAGGAATATATAAAGGAGGGAATCGAATGGAAGATGATCGATTTTTACGATAATCAGCCCTGCATCGATTTGATCGAAACCAAACTGGGAATATTGGACTTGCTGGATGAGGAATGCAAAGTGGGTGCCCTTGTATTTGTGGTAACCGTTCAATTACATTGCGATTTTTGTGCAGATGCCCCGTGGATCCGACGCCTCCTGGACGGAAAAGCTCTACTCAAAGTGCAGCAAATATTCCCATTTCGGGAAAAGTCGATTCGGACGATCCAGTTTCATAGTGAACCACTTTGCTGATCGGGTTCAGTATGAAAGCAATGGGTTTTTGGAGAAAAACCGCGACACAGTGATAGAGGAGCAAATCAACATTATTAAGGCCAGTGGCAACTCTTTGCTCAGAAGGCTGTTCAAACCCGATGATCAGAAGCTGCAAGTTCCTGGAGCTAAACTCAAGGTGGTGTCGGCCAAAGGCGACTCGGGAGCGAAGAAGAGCCACAAAAAATCAGTGGGTTCCCAGTTTCGCGAGTCGTTAAATGCCCTGATGTCCACCCTGAACTTTACCACTCCTCATTACATCAGATGCATCAAACCCAACGATACCAAGTCTGGGTTCGAGTTTAGCCCGAAACGAGCTGTACAACAGCTGAGGGCTTGCGGCGTTTTGGAGACCATCCGAATTTCCGCTGCTGGTAAGTGAAGCAATTTTTACAAAGCAAATGGTAAGCAAGTGTTGTTAAGGTTTCCCAAGTCGCTGGAATTACGTGGACTTCTTCTACCGCTACCGAGTTTTGTGCAAATTCAAAGACATCATCAGAAACAACATCGAAAAAACGTGCTGCAACATTTTAAACCAGTACATCAAAAATTCCGACAAGTACCAACTGGGCAAAACGAAAATCTTCTTCCGAGCCGGCCAGGTGGCCTATCTGGAGAAATTGCGACTGGAAAAGCTGAAAGCCTGTTGCATACTGATCCAGAAGACCGTGCGCGGGTTTATGGCCAAGAAAAAATACCAGACCATCCGAAAGACGGCGATTCTGCTGCAAACACATGCCAGAGGCTTGATGGCCAGAAGGTTATTAGCGCTAGAAGCGCCGGTGATAACAAATCATGATAATTTTCTTTTTCATGAAGAAAGGCCAAGACGATCAGGACTGAAAGGGCGGCAATCACTTTGCAAAGGTACATCAGGGGATTCTTGGCGCGGCGAACCTTCCAGCAGAAAAGACGATGCATTTTGGGTCTACAGAGTCGCATTCGAGGACTGTTGGCTAGGAAGAACTTCAAAATAATGAAGGATAATGCCAAGGTACAACTTTGATTATATGTGAAGTGCTACTTTATCAAACTCCCCGTTGATTTATATAAAAGTGGTTGTATGCATCAATTGATAAATTCTAGGCGATAATTCTTCAAAAATACATCAGAGGATATTTGGCCCGAAAACGCTTCGCTGTACGCACAAGATACATCGTGGTATGCCAAGCGGCCATCCGAAGATTCCTGGCTAGAAGACAGTACAAGCGACTGAGAATCGAGGCTCGATCCATCGAACATGTGAAGAAGCTCAACAAAGGGCTGGAGAACAAAATCATCAGCCTGCAGCAGAAGGTTGATGAAATTAACAAGACCAATGCCGAGCTGCTTGGATACCGGAACGAAGTCAATGAGCTAAAGTATGCCTTATTTTCCCATTAGAATTTCCCTCATTTTGTGCGATGTTAGGTCGAAGCTGAGCAGCCTCAAAGCGCTGGAGCTCGAAGTGAAAACCCTAAACAGCCTTATAATCGAGAAGAACAAGTTGGTTGAAAAGTTGCAAGAAGAACTGCGAGCGGAGAAGGAGGAGAAAGTTGACCTGGTAACAGAGCAGGAGAAATTCAGGAAGGACGTTGAAATCCAACAGGAGGTCTGGGCGCAAGAGACTGAGAAGCTGAAGAAGGAGTACGAGAACATAATAGAGATGCTGAAGATGAACGAAAAGGGGGCAGAAGAAAACATCAAGCTTCGCCTGGAGGAAGAGAAGAAGGAGATCCTGCATGAAGCGGACCACGAGCGGCAAGCCTACCAGAAGCTCCTGCAAGAATACCACGACCTGGAGCAGTACTGCGAAGAGCTGAGTAAGCAGGTGAACGCAGGCGGGCAACATAAAAGGAATCTCAGCGATGTCAGCAGCACATCCACGGTGGATGTGAGCAAACTGTCCGAGGACCATGGGTATGGCTCAGTCAGATCCACCGCTAGTACCAGGGAGAAGCTGGAGAACATCGACTGGAATGGTAAAAGCTCATCATTTCCTCCCTTTATGAGTGGATTTTCAACAAAATTTGCAGGAGCAAATGGGGAAAGTGCCACCAGCAGCGATCCAAACCCTAAAGCTGAACCAGAGAACAACGTTGATATAGGAATAGTACTGAAATTGCAAAACAACCTTGCAGAGCTGGAACGGGAGAAGATGCGGATGCAAAAGCGACTGGACGAACTGGACATGTCACCAAGGATTGAGAGGTAAGTGTGCGGGTCATAGCAATGGAACAAAACCGGCAAACAACGGCTTTCAGGGCGGAAAATGCGGCAAAGGATGCCATCAAAATCTCCGAGCTGGAACTGAGCAATTCCAACCTAAAGTCGCAACTAATGGAGCTGCAAGCGAGCGTAAACGAAGGCACCGGCATCTCCAAGTTGCACCAACAACTGCAGCAGATGCAGATCGAATTGGATCGACGCAGCGACGAAGTGGTGCAATTGAAAAGCATTCTGGCCAATCAAACGGATAGCATGAAGTCGATCGTCAATTCCAATAACCGATTGGGTGAGCGCAGTGAAAGTGTGGGGCAAAACTAATCTAATGTGGTTCATGGTAGCAGTAGGACTTGCACAAAACAGTCCAAATCTACTTGGCTTATTTATGCTTGAATAACACCTAATTAAGTGAGCTTGGAAAAATACTGCTAGTATTCCTGCGGCGATTGCCATTGTTAAGTGTTTAGCGCATGGGCGGATCCAGCTTTAAAGTCCGGGGG